AAAAGTATGAGTGAGGAATATTTTTTAAAAGAAGTCTTTAAACAAGGAAAAACAAATATCATAAGCTCTGTTCTCTATGTTTCTTACCAAAATGTGTCTGTCAATGCCCTTTTGTTATTTTCAGAGTGTGGAGAAGAAACTGCCTGAGGTAAAAATGGAACTTCATACTCCACAAAACAAGGTGAAATAATACTAATAATACAGCACTTTTAGGCAGTGCTTCCAAACATATCAGGAAATTCCATAAAAACAGGTACAATGGGAAAAAAGTCAAATGATATTAAAAGAAAAAATATCCAATTGCTTTCTAGGACAGGTTACACATTGGGTAAATTGCACTAGAAGAAAAAAAGGGAAATAGGATTTTACCTAGTAAAAATAAACATTTTCCATCCCATTTCTTGATAATACCATTATTGGCATAGGGATGATAACGAAGTTGCCAAAAATAAGTGCAAAACTGACGTTTGAGAATCAGCAGGAAAAAAAATGAGTTTGTGACATTCTCATCAATCACCTCAATCATAATTATTGTTTGTAGCAAATCTGTGTTTAAAATTTTAAGATTCTTGATATTTTTCTTTAGTGAAAATGATTTTTATATGAGGTATTCTAAAGAAGTTTTCAAATTATAAGTTAAATGATATATTTTCCTAGTTGTAAATATAGAGATTAAAATATGTACACCAAAAATACATGTTGATAAAAATTTCTAATAAGTAACTAGAGTGGTGCAAATATAATCAATAAATAAATTTAATTCATTAGTTTTTTCCAAAGTTTAGTTTAGCTTTAACCTTAATTTCTTATATGTAATAATTATATATTTATTCATTTATGCATTTTTGATAGGAAATGGAAATAATGGTAGGAGGATAGTTTGAGGAAAACCACATTAGCCATTTTGCAACACTTGGAGAAAAGTAGAACTAGAACTTACTAAGAGATTCTAGGATCAAAAGAAATGGAAAATATGCTTGCTGTTTTTCTAGGTGAAATAACTGAATTCTAGTAAGGTAGAAGAAATTCAGTTGCCTTAATTTTCTTTTTTAGAGGAGCTTAGTTTCCATAAGAACACATAGGAAAACTCAGAGAAATACTGAAGTTTGAGATAGACCTGACACTGTATTGTGGAGAACTTCAGATTTTTCTCTTACTGAGTTTTTTTTTTTAAATGAAAAATTCCAAATGAAGGGTAATATGTTTTAACAAAGTAATAATGATTCTAGTAAATTCCATATATATATATATATATATATATATATATATATATTTCTCTAAAGGCTAAACATTAATTCTTCAACAAAATATTTTATTCTTTTCTCCTAAAAGAAAATTTGCCTATCTCTTAAAGTAAACTTGGAGTAGCAGAACCACCTCTGCCGGCTCTAGTCAGGGGCCACTCTGCCTGGATGCGATGTTTAGAGGTCATGGGTGGAAACAAATGGGAGCTGTTTTTGGAGGCTGCCTTGCCTTTTTAGGTCATGAGGGTCTCTCTGTGTTTAGGGTAACATGATTGAAGGCTCCACTCCAGCTCCAATTAGCACCCTATAATTTATTAGCTTCTGCTTTAAGATTATGCGTTAACTTCACAAATATTTCAACCACGGAAACAGCAGCTATCAAGTGTCTCTTTCCTGATCCAGCCCTCTGGGGCTGGATTGAAATACAAGGAAACAGTGGTACAGTTGGTCTGTCAAGTGAGAATAATCATTTGTGCCTGTGCTTGTCTGAGGGCATGATGTCTCTGATTTCTCTTTCGGTCTGCATCTGTGTGAGTGTTTGTTATATCTGTGGATAAATAGATTCTATTGTGTGGATACCATATTTGTATTGTTAGGGTTTCATTTATTTACCGGCAATAAGGAAGAGCCAGTATTTAGGAAAAGTGAAATTTGTGTTTGTTTAACCCTGCTGCTTGTGTAAATGTCACAACTTCAGTTACACACAGACAGCAACTGTGATAATGTGAAAATGTCTTTAGGGACATTTATTCCTTTACTTAAGATTTTAGGAAAATATAATAAATCCTAAAATTCTAGCAAGGAAAAATGGAATATACAAACATTTTGACAAGTACAATCAAAATGTGAATTATTCGCATGCAAATTGTCAACAAACTGTTAAAGCAATTTTATAAAGGGATCTTACATTTTTCAGTTTCATTTATTTTTAAAGTCTTTTCAAACACCTTTCAATTTTTCTTCCATGCTCATGAATTACATTAAAATGCACTTCATGGAAATGGCATTTATATAGAAAGCAGTTTGTCTAAGATCTATCTATTTATTTTTATCTCCCCCAACTCCAAAATAACCAATCACTATGGCTTAGAAAAAGGAACTTTATTTTGATAGAATATGTATGGGTGCCTGCATAGAAATGCAGGCTTTGTGATTCCAAGCAAAATGAAAGTTAAAGTTATCTGAAGAGTTGTTTCCTCCAGATGCAAAAGGACACAGAAAATACAGTACTTACCCCAGGAATCAGTGAAAAGAGAAGTGTTCAGTCAGGGGGTCTGGGTCCCAACACCCACCACCTCTGCCCTCTCTCCCATCCAGGCCTGAATTAATCTTAAGTCATCGCTAGAATTTGCCATGCATTGAAATAGAACTTCAAAGGGGAAATGAGATGGGATGGCAACTCCTTTTAAACTGAAGGAGTAGAACAGATAGAGTTCCCTGAAGCTGGGTGACTGAGTTCTCAGCCAGAGGGCAATCGGCAAAAGGATTATGTGGTGGTGGAGAGCCATTTCTCCCCTTTTCATCACCTCTCCCCTGGCCTAGGCCAAGTGCCAAGGGAAAGCTGTGAGTGAAGGGGACACCGGTGCCGTGGGGTACAAATAGAAGAGAATGCAATATCTCAGACCCTAACCAGGTATAACACATGTAAAAAGTCACATTTGCCTTTTCTCATGCCATCCCTCATTTCCTTGAATGTCCTTTTATCAACTGCTGGAACTTTCTCTAATCTACATGGTTTCACTACTATTAGGAAGATAGGCATTGAAGTTCACATTTCGTGTGACTTGGTGGGCCAGAAGAATGTCAGTAAGGGCTAGTAATTCCCCAGAGTTCTCTTGGATGCCCTGATTACACAGAACTAAATCATTATAGTTCTAGGTCATCTTGCATCTCCACTTTAGGAAGGTGTAAACTGCAGGGAAATGCTGTGCTTCATGTGTCATACGTGCCAGGTCTCTGGAGCCTGGACTGGCTCAGCAGTCTGGACGGTCTGTTCGGGATTGCCCCAAAGGCCAGTTCCAGTGAATGAGTCTCCTCACCAGCAACCTGATATTCGGGTCAGATGCAGCTGAGGAGAGAGGTTGCAGTAATCAGAGCCTCGTGGCTGGGAAAAGGCTCCCTGTGGGTCTGACCACAGACCTTGTGTCAGTGCAGGTGGGGCACAGCTAAAGAGCCTCTTCCAGTGACGAATACTTACAGAAGATGTCTAGTGGAAAATGCACTGCTTGTTTTCTTTAACAGCATACTACGTAGCAAATTCTGAAAAGCGCACTGAGGCTGAACGCATTCTATTTATGCTTGCATATACCAGTGATCCATGCCAGTGGAACATGGATTAAAAAAATCCATAGAGAAGTCCAAAGTTAATTTTAGTTATTGCTTCAATGTCCAAACCTCAGGCTAACTCTTACACCGCTTGGTTAGATTGGGTGTGAAGAATTTCAGAGCAGTGAGGGCTGTTAAATACTGATGTGAATTAATAAGAGAAGCAATAATACTGCCCTCCTGGAGAATAGAGATCTGCATGAATGGTCTAAAGGTAGTGCCATTTGATGGAGTTAGGACAATGTCCTAAGACAATTCCTTTGAGATCTGGGATACTGTAAGTTCTACAAAGCATTAATCTTTGCTTTCCTGTCTTTTTTCCCTTCTTACTCATCTATTGTAATGGAGAAAATAAGACCAAAGTTGAACAGCAAAGAGACAAGTAGTTACTGCAATGGATAGCAGTGCAGTCATTGCACCTGCGCTACTGCGTTGGCATTCTGGCTCTGTTACTGATGAGCTTCGTGACTGAGCAAATTATTTCTCCTCTGTGTGTCTCAGTTTTCTCATAGGTAAGAAGGATATTATAATAATAACTACCACATGGAATTATTGAGAGGCTTAAATGAGTTAATCTGTACATAAAGCCTTCAGATCAGCACCTGATGCATGATAAATAATTAACATTAGTTATTATTGTTGTTATCACATCTGGTACAGCATGATCATAGTTATAGTACCTTCCATCTAAGCAAAAAAAATACCATTTTTGTAATGATCATACCTACTTCACAGGTACCCAAATGATAGAAAGGGGATGGGTAACTCTGCCAAGCTTATGCTTGGAATGAGGTCCCTTAACTGCTTCCAACTCTTGAGACTATTATAATATATATAAGGTAATATATACATTATATTTGCTTCTTATGTTATAATGAAAATCAAGATTTATACTAATATTATTATGATTCCATAATGTGCAAGGGCAATTTGCACATCATACAAAATCTTTCTCCTGGGCATTACTGTGAATAAACACAACTAACTTTGGTATCAAGAGAATACAAAGAAAAAGACTCAATTTCTCAATAATCTTTTTTTCCTAGTGGAAGGTTTGGTTTCTTAGCCTAGCTTATTAAAATATAAAATAACCAATATTTCAAAAACACTTTTAACCAATGACTCTACTGTCTTAAGAGCTTAGAATTTTAGAAGTAACAATAATTCCCTCCTGTCTGACTGAATGGTCTGTACACCTCTGTTTCTAACTCGCTGAATGCTAACAGGTAAGCGCTTGGCTTCTGTGGCCCGCAATGTTCTCATCTGTGAAACAGAGAGAAGGTACCTAACTTCTCATCTCCAGGGTTGATTTAATGTGGGAAGAGGTTAACAGATTTCACAGCACACACTTTGGAATAACAACAAAAAGTGTATCTATATATGCATATAGATACATATGCACATGTGTAATGTAATATCACCGACATTGGATCATACTACCATAAATTATTTTATTTTACTAGAGAAAAACTAAGGTATTTATTTTCTTTTATGAAACAACATAGTGAACCCACAGTAAACAGACATCTTTAATGTTCATTTCTTCTTCCTCGTCACCTGCAGCTTTGCCCACACACAGACCTCTTCCCCTGCCCCAACACTAAAGTGACCAAATCACAACCATAGAGACAGAAAAATATTCGAGGTATTGGAAGCTCCATGGACATTTCTTCCCCTTGTGATGGTTCTCAGTTCTTTTCCATGGAGATCACTGGGGTCTCTTGTTGCTTTTTGCATCCAGAGGATAGAGGGAGGGACAGAAATTGTGGGACAGAAGGCAGAGAAGGGTTTCTTCTTTCATCGTAAAATGTTCCTTGTAAAAAATATGATATATATACATATATATATAAAATATATCCAGTGCAATTGCAATTGTTCTGCCAAACACTGGGAAGTGCCACCTTGGTTGATGTATTTCTGGAGTTTTAAACAGTTGTCCTACAACAGCTGCCTTGCAGTAAGACTTGGGCAGGTGGCTCCAGATAAGCCACTTGCCACTCACATTCAGGCTGAGGCTTCCATGTTCAAGGTCCAGAGGAAAAAGTGTGCCTCTGTGTCTGGAGTGGGTGTTGTGGGGTGGGGATGGGCAGGGAGGGAGCTGGAGGCTGAATGGTGAGGAAGAAGGAATTGACTTCTCTTTACTTCTCTACCACAGTCTTCGATGCAAATACACATACTGTTTTAAATCTGAGGATATCCACAACGTCAGTAGTGCTATGCTCACACTACCTAATGAAAGAATTCACATCAGCATAAAAAAATATTCACACCAAAAAGTCTCCTTTTCTTTCTCCCTTTCCAAAAAAGCTTATGATATCCTGTCACCTGACTAAGTGATCTCACCACAGATATTTCCAGTGATTTGGCCAACGTAATTCAGAGTCTTTGGATCCACTCTTTCAGCAGCGGGAAATTTCTGTAGTTGTGGCTTTTGGTTTTCCCCATACACCAAGAAGTTTGAAGTCTCTGCCTTTCCCCCATGTCCTCATCCATGAAGTGAGAGGGCACAGGTGCTGAGCCTCCAGGCTGGTCAGAAGAGACAGGGAAGGGGAAACCCTGGGTCGGCAGATCAGCTCAGGAGGGATGCACCACAGAGGGAATAGCGGCGAGCTGCAAACCAAGATCACAAGCTGTTACAAACCCACTCCATTTGGGCTCTGAGTGCCACAACTGCACTGCGCAGAGACCTACAGGGGAGAAGGCGGGCTGTCTAAAACCAGTACACATCCTTGCTTTTGTCCTGGGGCTGCACACCTGAAAATAGAAGATGAGAGAAAGAGAGAGAGAGAGAGAAGAAGAAAGAAAGAAGAGAGAGGGAGAGAGAAGGAGTGGGGGAGGGAAGGCACAAGATATGTAAGGAAAGAGAAAGACAAACACCAGTTTTATTGTGAAAGTCCTGGCCTTCACCAAAAGTTGGGTAAATGAAAGTAAACACAAAGCAAACAGAAAAGTCAAATCTTCACCTGAGGGAAGAGGGAGTGGGCAGACTACAAGGCAATGAATGACTGCACTTATTGTATAACTATCTTTTCATTTGCCCTAAAAGTAAGAAAAGAAAGCAAAAAACCAAAGCCTTATTTGGAATACTTTTCAAATTCAACTCTTTAAGCCAGAGATTTAGTATTATCATATTCTTAAAGTTTTACATTTTTAAAAGACCTATTTAATTTGGCAATTTAATTGATATTAAAGTCACATATTTTTCTTTCCTTTTAACTGTGATTAGGTGACAAGACCCCGCTCCCCAAAGCCATAAAGGATTTTAAACTACACTCTCTGCAGGTACTCTAGATCAGTGCTGTCCAATAGAAAACAATGGGAGCCACAGGCATAATTCTAAGTTTTATACCAGCCACAGTGAAAAGAAGCAAAACGAAACAAATGAGAATTCATCTTAATAATACATTTTATTTAACCCAATATATTTGATATGTAATGTGTTGAAAATATTTCAACAAGCAATCAATATAAAAATATTAATGAGATGCACTTTGCATTCTTTTTTCACACAGTTTTTGAAATCCAGTGTGTATTATACAAAGATGGCACATTGTAATTTAGTCTAGCCTCTTATCAACTGCTCAGTTGCCACATGTGGCTAGTGGCTACAGTATTGAACAGCGCAGAGCTAGAACTTTTCCACAAAATTTTATTTTTAAAAGAAGTCTTCTGGAATAGTTACCAGTCAGCTTAGGGCAGGGTCCTACCGTCTCATCCCACCCACACCGATAGCACAGGGTCATCTACCAGCGGAAACGCAGCCATGCCATGCAGACCCTCCGACCACAGAAATGGGGACCAGGGCTCAGCTCAGGGTTGGGTACAAGACCAGGGGGGGCTCCAGGAAGGTCACACTGCCTCCTCTGCTTACCTGAGTCTACGCTGAGGCCCAAGCCCTGGGCCACGTCCCCCGCGGGGCTGGCGAAGGGCCCCCCGGGCGCGGCCCACGCGGCGCCGGCCGGCTCGCTCTTGGCGGAGAGCTCGCAGGGCGGGCTGCCAGGCGCGGGCGCCGGGCCGGGTGCGAGGCGGGCCGGGCGCCCCGAGGCTGTGGGCATCAGCAGCGGCCCGTAACGGGGATCGAAGTGGGGCGCGTAGACCTCGTGCACGCCGGCAGGGCGCGGGTAGGCGGCGGCCTGGGCGCCGAGGGCGCTGCCCAGCGCGTAGGGGTGGTGCGGGTGCGCGTGGTGCGGGTGCGCATGGTGCGGGTGCGCGTGGTGCCACGGCTCCGTCGTGCCCTGGTGCAGGTGGCTGTGCAGCGCGGCCGGCGAGTAGGGGTCGGCGGCTGCGAAGGGCAGCTCCGAGTGCGCGGCGGCCAGAGGGCTGCCCAGCGGCGCGGGCACCGGCGCCTGGTACGCGCTGTTCCAGAAGGAGGCGGGGAAGCTGCGCTGGCTCATCGGGAAGGAGCCGTCTGCAGGCCGGGGAGGCGGAGGGGAGGAAAGGAAGAGAGGTGCATGTCACCGCCACAGGACGCGAAACGCGAGCCCCGACTCGCACGGCTGAGAGCTCAACTGGCCTGCAGCAGCGCCTTTCTAAGGGGGGTGCAACTTGTGAAAGCGACATCAGGGCACCCCCAAATGAGGTCTTCCGGGAACCCCAGGGAGGAAGTCCGCTTCCTCTGATTTCCCAGAGGCGTCCTTAGCGCGGAAACCCGGGGAGTGTGTCAGGGAGAGAAAGATCGATCGGAGAGCCCTCCTCTCCCAGACCCAAGTTTTGGGGCGCAGGGAGCTTCCCCCGACTCTGGGCCGAGGTACAGTGGTAGCCTCAGGGCAGACGCGGCCTCCCTTTCCCAGCCGCAGGCTCTCCGCAAGCTAGATACCTCTTCCCACTTTCGGTCGGCAGCCTGGGGATCTAGCTAGCTAGCCCCTCTCGCGTTTCAGCCTCCCGTGCTCCAGAAAATGTGCCCCTCCAAGGTCCCTGATAGACTGAAAGCCATCGGACATATATCGAAGTCTTGCCATGATTAGTTTTCTTTCTAGAATCCTTCCCTCAAATATTTTTTCCCCAAGAACTCAAGCAAAAGAGTAAACTAGACAATATTCAAAGGGTAGCTGTATTATTAGCATAGAGAGACATGAAGGGACAGGTTTTTCTAATTGAACTTTCTACATCAAAGTAAGGACACAAGGAGTAATAATTAATAATAATAATTGTGAGTATCACTGTTGACCTCTATTCTCTGGTAGCATTTTAAGAAAAGAGCATTTACATCAATTTATTTGTTGCCATTAGTAGAGAAGGAGAGAAAGACAGATATTTAATTCAGGGAAGCTTTATTGAGCATCTCCTCTGTGCTGTATACTAGGGAATTCGAAATGATTTGAAAATGCATTCTAAATGGTTAACAGTCTTCCTGTTAAAAATATTTTGCCAACTGGAGAATAAAAAGAATGTTCTGTATTTAAAACTAATGCTTTTGGATCTTGTCTAGAGCAAGGCTTGTGCAAACTGCCAGGCTCTCTTAAGGAAAAAATGTGTGTGTGTACCGTGTGTGAGGGTTGTTATTTCCTTCCAAAAGACAAATGAAAACAAATGAAAATTTGTTTTCTTTTCTTTTTTCTTTTTCTTTTTTTACAAGAAAGTCTTCATTTCTCAGCTTGGTATACACCAAAAACAGCTTAGGTTAATGGTTCCCCCACCCTTTGTCTTGTTGGTAATAAAGGGAAGTAGAGATTTCAGAACAGCAGGGAAATTTACTTGGCTTGTCCAAGAAGTCATTGTCCTAGGCTAAAGTAGTGCTTTGTGAGGAAGGTAGAAAAATGAAGAGGAGATGTGTTGTGGGAAAAACTTTAGAGATATTTTGGCAGTACCTACATTTTTCTTTCTTTGTTACTCTATTTGCTTATTGAGATACTCCTGCTTCAAGATTTCACAAGTAATTGGAACTTGGCAAAAGGTATAGGTCAGCTTTAGGCCTCTCCAGTAGGTTTTGCTTGCAGGGGAGGTCAAGCATTTTTTCCTCTGAGCAAATTTTCAGAAATTGGAGAGTTGCTCTATAAGTTGTTGGTGGTGAAGATTCTCTACCTCCTGGTTTGGGAGAGTGTTGGAAACCTCACATTTTCCATAGCACATTTACATACATTTTAATGTTAAGTCTTACAGCCTTCTCTGGGGATAGTTAGGAGGGCAAGCGTTATTCTAATTTTAGATTCCAGTAAATAGAGTGACCTTACAGAGGTTAAGGGACTTGCCCAAGGTCATACTGTTTGGAAGTGGTGGAGCCAACACACAAACCTACGCCTTTCAATTCCAAGGCTAGTGTTTTTTCTGGATTACTGCTCTGCCTCTTTAATGAGATCTTATACCCATTCCCTTTCCCCTTCATTTTCCTTAACCTCCTCTAATTCCTCCCCCCCTCCTTCTCTGACACCTGGTATTCTTTCAGCTGCATATCGTTGGGCCTCTGTAGCTGGACCCCAGGCAGAGAGGGCCCTCCTTCAGGCCCTCCCAGCAGGGCCCCACACCTACCTTGCCAGGGCCCAGAGTTCCTGGGTGCTTTGCTACTGGTACAGCTGGGGGAGTAGCTGCTAGGTTGGCTCAGGGCCCTGCTGAAATGTTCATCCACCACGGAGCTGATGTCCCCCTGGAAATAGGTGAAGAGCACGCAGCGGGAGTTGATGTACTCTGCCTCTGGTGGGCACTCTTTCTCTGGGCTGCCTTCTTCCTCTTTGATACTGGCTGGGGTTTGGCTGGAAAATGAGGAGCTGCCGCTGCCACTGCTGCTGGGGCTGGCATTGCACTCTTGAGCTTCCTGCATTTTGGAGTAATAGGCTAGTTTCTGCTCAGAGAAAGAAAGAATAGAGAAGTCAGTTTCAAAAGAGTGTTTGGACTGAACTCCCTCATCCCAATCTCTAAGATAGCCATGGGGAAACTGGCATCTGTGCCTAAGTCTTGTGCTCTCAGCATAAAACTAGCAATAAGAGGGTGACACAGTAAGCAGTCCTCCCAACCTACACCCGAGCAGGAGCAGGGTTCCATGGAGGAGACTGCTGTCCGTGGTTGCTCAGTCCCTTCAGAGTTGCTGCTGGACCACAGGGAAATTTCTCTTAAAATGTCTGGGTGAAGGTCTCAGAAGACACCTAAGCAGCCAGATTATGAGCTGAGTTTGACCTCATAGCTGGGCTCAGGGCGGATATATTTTTAAAAGCAGACTCCAAGGGTAAAGGGCGCCCAAGTCCAGTTTGGGCCTGACTGTTCCCTGCCCGAGAATCCAGGGCAGAAGCACAAAATGCAGGACTAAATATCCTCATGATGGAATGGAGGAAAAACACCCACAAAAATCCACTCCCTGCAACCAGGAATGTAAAAGAACTGAAATGCCACAAAAAGTTTGAAATACATCCATTTAGTAATGAATCAAATGGGGTAAAAATGTGGGATAACATTGTAATTGGGGAAAGATAGATGATTTTAATAAATGCACGTTGACATTTGTTTGGTCGCCCATAAATTGTCCACTTAAAAGTCTCTCCGTTTTAAAATATATCTCCTTTTAAGTAAGGAAAACAAACAGTGGATTGTGAATATTTCCACCCTCACCATCTCCACACACATTGAGGAAATAATTAAAAGGAGCAGAAGGAAGAAATGTTAAGATTCTGGCTGTGGGGTTGGGTAAATCGTGATGTCTAATAGTAATTTTAAAAACTAAGTGCAGCTGCTGAGAAGATTTTCTTGGAAATGAGCAGTAGATTGAATGTGGTGTTAAAGCTCTCTGCAGGCAGAGATGGCCTTGAAGGGGGGCCCAAGTAACATAAAAATGAATGGAGATCTTAATGCAATAGATTGGTCCAGGGTCCAGAAGGAGAAAGGACCAAAGAGAAAACCAACCCACTTCTCTCCTCTTTGCAATAGTCTCATCCTGGGAATGAGCTCCAGTAATTTAGTAATATCACCACTTCCTCAATGCCACATTCCCAACTGGTTTATGAGGGACTCTGGTGGTTCCTAAAATTTACATTGAGACTAAACAAACTCCAGGCTGAAAAGTTTAAAAGAGAGAAACAGGAGGGAAGAAAACTAAAAGCAAAACCTACCCGTTCTATCATTAATTCATCAAGCAATTTCCCAGTAGATATTCTGAATTTGCAGACAAAATTAACGAAAGCATCGACCAGAGCGTTGGGGCATATTTCAATTTCCCCAAAGCAGGAGTCCAGGCCCTCACTTCCCAACCTGGTCTGGACTCCTACAACCTCCCCAGGTGTATGATTTCATTGTTTTCCTAGACTACTGTCCTCGGTTTCTGCTCTGTCAGCTGAAGAAATGGAAGGAAAAACTGTTCATCCAGACGCAGCCCAAAGAAGAGAAACTGGTATAATTAAACGGAACTTGAAGAGTTTACAGAACCAAGGTTAAATGGCCTTAGAAGTGAGTTTGTTGAAGGTAGGGCTAACTGATTCAGCTACTCATCAGGGTCAAGAAAGGCGAAGTATTGTCTAAAAAGCTCGCCTCTGTCTGGTCAATCGCACCGCAATAATACTTCCAGAATGTTGAAAGCAAATACAACAAAACGAACGGATTCTGAGCAGTGCCCTTTGAAACGAACTCGCTGGTTCTGGAATTAATTGTTCTGATAGCCCGAGAATTGAAATGGAAGAAATTATTCCGGAGATAAGCTTGCAGGCATGAGAACGCGCGAGCCTTTGCATCTCACAGAGAAAGAGACTGGTCTTTGCCGTTTTGTCACTTTCACCTTTTGGACCACGGTTTGGTTTTCCCCTCTTGAGCTCTGCCCGCAGTTCCCCACACCTGCCCTCGGCTCGGAAGAATCTGGAGTCTGACATACTGCATGAAGAAAATCCAGCCTGTGCCACACGCATCTGATTATCCCAGGGAAGACCCAGGCGCACATTAGCAGGATTTAGCTGCCTTCCCGAGAGAGCAAATGGGCGCGCTACAGGGGTTAGCGGACTGTGCGACCAACTGTGGGGCAGCGCGGCAATCCCCGCATCCGGGCGGCGCCCGCCGCTGGTCCGACGCCCGGGACGCGCCTGGGACGTCGGCGCACAGGGAGGCTGCGGTAAGCTGGGGACCCGCCACCGGCCCCCACAGTCCTGGCCCTGACCCGGAGAAGATACGTACCTGGTGGTAGGGGGTGTAGGCGGCTGCGAAGTAAGGCTGCGGAGGACCGTAAACTTGGTACATAACATCCAGACAGCTCATGGCTCTCCGCAGCGGAGACGGTCGAGTGTTTTTTCATCAACGCTCCTTCGGCGGGGCTCAGCGGGGCTGCATGGGCGGCGCTTGGGCCCGAGCTCCCGAGTCATCGGCGGCGGAGCGAGGGGCAGCGCGCTCGGCGGCTTGGGATCCCGCTGGCTCGCTCCCCTCCCACTCTGGCGACTCTAGCCCGACCGCGCTCCGGGACGGAAGCGCCTGGGCTCCCGCTAGTGGACATTTAAACCCCACGCCCGGCTGGCGTGCTGACGCCACTCCGGGCCCACGGAGGGGGACGGGGCGGTGGGGGGCGGGGACCGGGGGGCCAATGGGGAGCGAGGGACGCTGGTCGGAGGGGCCACCGGTGTGTTTCCTGAGACTCCCCGCGGCGCGCCAGTGGCCAAGGGTGCGGAGGACCGTGCAGTCGGAGCGGTGGGAGCCGCCGGCTTCGCACTGCAAACAGGGGTCTACCAGGCTAAAACAGGAGAGGGAGGGCGGGTTTGGGGCTCTTATACTCAATCAGAGAAAGAAAATTGGGGAAAAGGTCTCCTGGAAGAGCCCTGGTCTCACACTGGACAGTTGAATGTGCGCGTCTAGTAATAACGAGGTGGGGCAGGCTCTGCGCTCATGGTTCCTGGCTGCGCTGGGTGGACAGGGACTGTGCGGTCCCGTGGAGTCACCTAGCGGACCCGAGTCGTCGCAGACAGGACGTGGAAGGAGTCTGGGGACTCCTCCCGGGGCGGCGGAGCTCCCTCTGCGGGGAAACGGCAGTCGCTGAAGCCTGTAACCGCCGTGCCCTGCTGCCCGTCCTTTGCGCACTCTCCGACCCGGTCCTCTTGCCGCCTGCCACTCACCCCAGTCCCGCTCCCCTAGGCTGTTCCCTCAGGCTCCCCTAAAGTTCAATCCTGCCTTCTTCTCTTCGCGGTCCTCCATCTGAATGCGCTACGTTCGCGTAGATCGCGCCCGGCCTCTAGCCGCTCGGGTGGGAGCTGCTTTCGAGGAGTGCGGGAGGCCTCGCCCAGCCCCCGACACCTGGCTCTCCATACCCGGGTCTCTTCGGCAGGCGCCCTTTAAAGTTTTGGTCATTTTTTAGGACAGGGACCCACTGGCTCTAAACAGAGGCATCCTAGGAACTGCACGCAGTCAGGGCTTTCCGCTGCCTCTTCAGCCGGAGATAACAATAGCTGCGATGCTGTGGTTGATTTTAGAGAGGTGAAAGAGCATGCACTTCAGTTGTGAAACGCCCACAGCAGTTCTTTCTCCCGCCCTGAGAACTCTGCTGGCTCTGAGCTCCTTCCTGACGTTCCCTCCATCCTCCCCAAGCCTTCCCCCCAAACCCTGGGAAACGGGGTTTAACAGTGTGGGGTCCTCAAGTCCTTCGAATTTAGGTAGGCACTAAGACGAGGCTCTCTCTATTGGCTGGGTCAAGTGGCGGGAGGGGCGTCACGGGAATAGTGGCGGGCCAGGCTGCAGGGGCTGGGGCACAGGCTGGGAGCACTGAGGGCCCAGACCCAAGAGAGGGGCGGCGTGGATTACTGCCACAAGAGAACCTTAGTTATTCTCCAGTTTAAATTCAAAAGAAAGTCTTTTGAATTACATCAATTCTCAGGCCATAAAACTGTGAATAAATGCAACTTTGAAAATACATTTGTGTTTAAAAAGTGACTATTTTAAGCCAAATTGTTTCAGGGTTGAATTTTTGGTTTTGCCAGATTATAGTTGGGGAATGGCTCCATGTCTCCAACTCGGTTTATAAATGGTGAGCCGTCTTGAACGACTGGAGAGTTTCCTTAAGTAGCTGCAATGCACTCTATTTTAATGAAAATTAAAAATGAAGACACTTCCCTAGGACAGTTTTACGCAAGTCTCTTTTAAGGGGCCAGGCTATCTAAAGGCTGAGTTCCACCGGCTTCTTGAGCTTCGGAGGATCCAGGTGCACGGGTGAAGCTAGACACCCCGCCCACCTCCACCCCAAAGTGCCCGGCCAGGAGTTTCGGAGGAGGGGCACAGCCATCTATCTGCATTTTTGGGGGGACAAAAGAGCAAACTGTCACTCAGAGGGCCACAATGCACCCTTCTGGATGCGGAGGGTTGGGCACTCCAGGTCCTAGTCGCACTCGCCCCTGCTGCACATCCTCGCTGCGGGGCTGCTCCGCCCAGGCCCGCGCCTGGCTCTAGGCTTGCCCTGGCCGGCGCCCTGGGATCAGGTCTAAGGACTTGCAGGAGCCCGTGTGTCCTCTCTGTCGCCGCGCCCAGGATGCTACGCGGCGGCCGGTCGGTGCGGCTCCGTCGGGTCCCGCTCCCCCTTTCGCGCAGGGACTGCAGTCCATCCTTGCACACAGAGGTCTTGCTTTGGTTTTCTCCTATTCAGGACATCTCTGGGCGGGAGCACCAGTCGCCAAGGCGCGCTCCTTCCTGCGAGGCCGAGGATCCGCAGCGCGGAAGGCGGCCCGCTAGCATCGCGCGGGAAAGGGGCAGGAGGCAAGCACGGGAGAGCTCTGCTAGCCAAGGCACAAAAACTCTGCTCTTGTCCTCGCCTACCTCCCAATAGCTACCTGCTATCCCCTGTACCGCGCACTGTCACATTTTTGTTTTACTTTGGCCATGGGACTAAAAGACCTTTGATTTTTCGGCAGATTCCGGAGAAAATCACGACGACCTCTTCGAGTTCAACAAGGCCCACCAAACAGTTATTTTCAAAAAGGATTACAGAAGCAGCGATTTCACATGTTTTGAAAGAAGAAAATAGAGAATGTTATTCTAGTTACCAACGGGTGCTTTTTGTTCACTTTTCTCAATCTCCCCTTACTTGAAACTTGTTTTTTTTTAAAAAATCTCACTGTGACTGAGTATGGACAGCACAGGAGTTTAAAAGGAACATAAGGAACTGGGTCAGTGAGCATCAATCTTGAATTTGGGCAGGAAAACATTCCTTTTCCACTAAATCCAAAGTGAAGGAATAAAAATAAACAGCCCAGAATTTTAAAACACACCCCAAAATAGGGAGCATGTTCAGTCTCTTCTCTGTATCTGGAAAGCTGTCATTTACACGAGGATAGTACTTTTCAATCTTAGGAGACAGCCTCTTGTTTCTGTGCTGAGGCAGAAAGTAAAACACAACTAAATTTAAACCCCTCCACTCTCCCAGTCATACAAACCACCATGACATTAACATGCTCAAATAAGCCACATTTGTATTCAGAGCCTTGGGAATGGGCTACATGTTGAAGAAAAGCACAGAAAATTCTGTCTCCCCTTGCCTCTCGCTTCCTCTCCCCAAGAAAAGACAGAAAACCAAAGAGTTAAAGTACCTGAATTGAGGTCCCAGGAACAAATGGATGGACACCTGCAGAGAAATAAACTATTACCCATCTCATTGAATTGTCTTTTAACTCCCTAATTGGGCAGAACAAGTGTCAAAACTTCTTTTAGAAAGGAATTCCACTTTATGATAGATTCGAGGCAACTTACTGTACTGCCAGGAGGGAGCCATATGGAAATAATGTTATTCCCACACAAATTTCCTTTTAATACCCTAGTTCTAGCTTGCAATTCTAACAATACTAAAGCTGTGAAAATAAAAGTTACCTTTATTCTCAAAGTTAATAAGTGAGATTAAATTATTTTTGAATGAATGAATAGGCTTCAAGATAGCATCACAACAAAATACTTTGTTTTTGCTTCAGAAATATTTGTTTCTCATTGTTATAAGCTAGCTGATTTCATTACCTCCAAATTTCTCTGTCACCTGCATCATCTTATTCTGAAAACTGCACAGACATTCTTTATGGGAAGGACATATGACCTGATTCAGTTGGGGAACTGCCTTGCAGCCAGCCAGGCCCTTCCTTGTCCATGGTTTATTTGGAAAATGAGAGTTGGTATTTCGTACTGCCTTATTCTGTCAGCCGAAGGGGATAAACACAATGCTAACCTCATAAATTTTATCCTGAACCAATTTTTTTCATGTGTTTTAATAAGGGTAAATGTGTTTGGATTTAAGAGAGTAGCTGACAAGGTTTCGTGGATTCAAGCTGTTCATATTAATAATATTAATTGAAAGCATTTCTGCAAAATCCAGGTTTTTAGGCATGGGGTCTATTACTTGATATTCTAGTAATGGGCAATCTGAATGGTTATTTTATTTGAAAGAATTAAAGGGAAAAAAGAGAAATCCATATACTCTAAAACTTCACTAAGAAGCTAAGTGGAGAAATTACAGTTGGCTTAATGAAAAAACATGAAAAAGAGAGTTCAATTATTTTCATACAAACTTATAGTAGCTCGTAAAAGTGTTTCCAAGTAAAAGTCCTCCATGGCTAGTTCAAATGAACAGATGAGACTCCTTTATAATTATTGTCATATATGTGATTATTATAAGAATGTTAAACTTTACCTCATTTATATTTTTAAAACTCTATTTTCATGTTATGTACAAGTCAACTTTAGCTTTGGTGAAATGATCACAACTTTCTGAATTTAGTTTTCTCTTGAATTCATGTTGCCGTAAATGCCCATTTCTAAGATTGAGAAATATAATTAAAACCATATTCATCTTTCAGAAATGAGCTTTTTAATGTGTCTCTATGAAATGGTTAGCAGATATGATTACATAAATTCAATTCATATGACCCAATCCTTTAAAATGACAACAAACAGCAAAAAAGGAGATTTGACATAGATACATGTCAAATATTTTGGCTTGTCATATTTTTATGAGAGAAAATATTAGAAGAAAATTTCCATTCTATAACATTTACTTAGACACACAGAGTTAAGTCAGAGAGCATATATATCACTTATTTCTTAATAGGAAGAGGTTGTTTTTTGTCTTTACTTTAAAAAGTCAATCCAATTGCCTATAATTTCTGAGCCTATTTAAAACTTGTATTTTTCCTTGAAGAGACAGCCTGGAGATAATACCCTAGTAACTAACATACCTATGAAACTGCATTTGTAAGATCAGGGACATAGAGGAATTTGCAGATTCAGAAGGTGAAAGTAGATAGAAGGATTTAAACTGCTGATTTAGATATTTGACAGTATTTGTGTTGACCCATTCCCAATCTCCTGTTTATAACTTGATTTCAGCAGGATGCTAAAGAGATTTAAAGGAGACCACAGCAGTAACAGACAGAAGGCGAAGATATCTGAGTGTGATGTCATGTCACATGCTTCAAGCGGTCTTGAAACAGCTTCTTAGAAAACTCTCAAAGG